GGGATAATAATAAGCACTTGACATGTTTGTTGTAAACATTCAATGTGACAGGTAATATAAATCCACAGATAGAAAATGTACTCAATAAATGTCATTTTCCTCCTCCTCAGAAGAATGTGGACTTCACTCAACGACGAGGCATAGATGTGGGAAGACTAACGCCAGGTCTCACATTTCATTCTACAAATGGGGCGACTGAGAGATGGCCTAGCCCAGCCGGGGTCATGCCACCAGATAATCAAACTCAGAATGAGCCCTCAATTGTCTCGATTGGGTAGAGAGCCTCGTTTGGCTCTAACATAGAAAATAGAGCTGCAAAGCTATCACATGAGAAGCTGATCTCAGTTTGGGTACCACATCGCCCATTCTCTTGAGTGCCCAGAGACATTTGTAAATAAATTAATTATTCAACCTCCGTAGAAACCGGAGACACTGGGAGACAGAGGGACAGGTGCGGGTACATTGAGGAGATTGAAATAGATGCATTGGAACAAAACGTTTAAAATTTGTTGAACGAAAAATTGATGATGTGCTCTGGGAAGCTTCACCTGAATCTCAAGAGAAAGTTAAAAAATAAAAAGTCCCTAACCTAGGCAGACGACTTGGTGATTGGAATAAACAGGTCTTTACAATATTGGAAAGAAGGACATCAAAAGCTCACTCACTGGTGTAAGTACCAGAGAAAAAATGTCCTTCCTTGGTGTACGTGTTTCTGTCCCTAACTCTTCACACCCTGATCCACGTGCTGCCGTTTCCTTGGGGTGCAGGGAAAGACTTTTCCTATACTGTCTACGAAATGCCAAAGTCATCACCGGTTATAAAAAATCTTATAAAAGAAGGATCAATTTAGTGTTTGAGTTCTTACCTTGCCTTCAAGTTGGTCAAAGTTCTATTTGGTGGGCCCAGTATTGTGTCCAAGATACCCAGACACTCGCAGCTGTCAGCGCACAGTGCCCACTTCTCCCACGCCTTCCGAGCGTGTACTGGATGCCTAGGTCTTCCTTCCTCAGAATGGGAAGTGATGACAGTATTTATACAAAGCAGTAGAGAGTGAGCTGGCAGCTGTGTGAGTTGTGATGGATGCCGTCTTGTGTACACTGCTTCCATGGGTCAACACACAACTCAAGAGATGAAGGAAGAACTTAATTAATCCGTATGCCATGGGCTTTGTATCAGAGTTTCATGTTATTTTATAATTTTTTAATATGGTAGGTATTTCAAAAGCAAATGCAATATGTATTTATACATTGGGCACCCTTAGGCAATGATAACAAGTTGTGAATGTCCCAACGCCAGAAACTAGGCACTTTGTTTTGAGAACTGCTAGCTAGCTTCTTTCCCTGACTTCTGAGAAGAGCCACAATGAATAAAATCTTGTTCTCTATGGACCTGACGGCTTCCAGGAGTGAAGCAATGCTTGTGCATGACGGCTTCCGTTAAGTGTCAAGGCAAAGTTAGCCAGCATTGCCACCCAAACCAAGCTACAGATTGGCTGTCATCCCAAATAAGAATGAGACCAATGTGAATATATTTATATATGATGATGGGGAAATAGATCTATGTGCATATATTTATAGGTTTAGGATTAAGGTAGCAGATGGACAATGGGCCTCCACTCAAATACTCCCTCAATGCAATACTATTTTGTTGTATTAAACTGACATTCCATGATGCTCACGTTCCCGACACAATTGCTGAAGACAAAGCGGGTGCATAAGCAAATGTGGTGAAGAAAGCTGATGGTGCCTGGCTATCAAAAGATATAGCATCTGGGGTCTTAAAGGCTTGAAGGTAAACAAGCGGCCATCTAGTTGAGAAGCAACAAAGCCCACACGGAAGAAGCACACCAGCCTGTGTGATCACAAGGTGTCGATGGGATCAGGTATCAGGCATCAACGAACAAAAGATCATATCATTGTGAATGAGGGGAAGTGCAGAGTGGGGTCCCAAAGGCCATCTGTAGGCAACTGGACATCCCCTTACGCGGAAGCGTCATGGGAAGGACACGAGCCAGTCAGGGTGCAGTGTAGCAACAATGAAACATACAACTTTCCTCTAATTCTTAAATGCTTCCTCCCACCCACCCCCATCATGATCCTAATTCAACCTTACAAGTCCAGTAGACCAGAGGATGCACAGTGGTGCAGATAGGAACTGGCAACACAGGGAATCCAGGACAGATGAACCCCTCAGGACCAGTGGTGAGAGTGAGGATACCCAGAGAGTGGAGGGAGGGTGTGCTAGAAAGGCGCAACCGGTCACAAGGATCTACATATAACCCCCTCCCTGGGGGACAGAAAACAGAAAAGTGGGAGGGAGACATTGGACTGTTTAAGACATGAAAAAAAAAAAATTATCAAGGGTTCATGAGGGAAGTAGAGTGGGGACGGAGGGGGAAAATAAGGAGCTGAAACCAAGGACTCAAGTAGAAAGCAAATGTTTTGAGAATGATGAGGGTAACGAATGCACAAATGTGCTTGACACAATGGATGGATGTATGGATTGTGATAAGAGTTGTACGAGCTCCTAATAAAATGATTAAAGAAAGAAAAAATAAAAGAAAATGTGAGAATTGACTGAATCATAAAAAGCGTCCTTCCAGGGATATTTTGAGCCTCGACTAAGAAATGTTTTTTGGTGTTTTTTTTAATTGTGATTCATAATGTATGTTTCACATTGAAACAACACTTCCCCTTATGACTGATAAGGCACTCTGATATTTCCTCATCCAATTCCATTCCATTTCATTTTTTAAATACTGGTTTAACTCACTAAATTGGTTTTAAAGCCCAAACAACTAATGGGTTTCCTCCTACTCTTGGAGAACACTGATGCAGCCAATTTGCTTTGTGTCGCAAATGAGGAAACTGAGCAGAAGCAGGTAAGTCACAAACACAGTCCATTGGCTAGAAAGGATTACTGGTCTCCATTTATTAGCCACAGGCAATGACTCATATAAGGGATAATTGTGATGATTAAGGTTATTATGTGTCCACTTGGCTGGGTCATCATTCTCAGTGATTTGGGAGATGTTACATTGTAATCATTCTCCATTGAACTATCTGATGTTCAAGAAGCTAATCAGTTGAAAGGGAAATTTCCTCGAGAATGTGGTTCATATCCAATATGGGTCCTGTCAGAACTCCCTTGCTCTCAATCTTCCATCCTTCTTGTTGTTCTGTGACCCCTGGTTCATGACATGTGAGCCAGCAGTCTGCTGCCTGACCTGCAGATTTGAGGATTTTCCAGTTCCTCAGCCCCATGAACTAGCAGACCTGCCTATGTGAGATTCATCAGCCCCTGCAATCACATGAGGTGACAGAAGCCTGAAGCCTGACATGCATGGTTTGAGACTTACCAGCCTCCACCCCAGTGGGGGTCATTTATTTGAAATAAATCTCTTTATGCAATCACTCTCTGCCTTTCAGTGTGGTGAAGTTCCAAAGACTATGCTGTTATTAAAAACTTGCCAGTAGGTGAAAATGGAAGTGATCCCATCATCTCACACAACGGTGTGTTCCTGCTTAGTTAAATAACTTCCAAACCACTGAGAATCATGGGCT